CCTGGTGCCCGCCCCTTCTGTGTGTTAGTGTTGGGTGCAGGAGGAAGCCCAATAGATAAAACTTCTCTACTTGCCTTCCCCTCGGCTCTTGTTCCCAATACCATGTGTTTATGGGTTAGTGGACATTAACAAGCAAAGGCTGCAGCCTGGAAGGAGTTTGGTGTCAGGGGCAGGTTTTCATCCCAGCCTGGAAGACCAGGCAGGTCCTGGGAGCTGGGCAATTGCATGGGGACTTGAAGCTGAAGATGTGAACACAACTAGCTAAGAGTTTGTCTTGAAGCTGTCTCCTGCAATACTGTTTGGAGGCTTAAATTCCTTCTCATCTGCAGTTCAATTGGCCCCAGAGTTAACACAGGAATTCTAACTACAGATGGAAATTAAGCAGTCCTGGTAGTGAGGGTAAGAAGTAGTTACCAATGGAAACCACCAAAAATCATCACTCCTGAGCAAGAAAATACTAAAGAATTATGTTCTTCCTGAGATAAGGCAACAAGCTGTTTTCTAAATATCTTTTAGCCCTACAAATGTGTCCCTAAGGCCTTGGGTGATGTGACTGTTGGAGACGGGGTTAAATGCATTTGGAACCTTATAATGGTGTCAGGTCCTGGCTTTTCCACTTTCTTGTGAGCTTGAGCAACTTATTTAAATTGCCTGGGCCTCAGTTTCCATTTCTGTGAAAGGGAGACAGTACTGCATGGGCTTGTTACAAGGATTAAATTTGGTAGGTGAAAATGCTTTGTACATTGTAAAGACCGACAAATTTGTAGTAATTTTAAATGGTGTTTTGAGAACGCCATGTTCAGACATAGATTTTGTCAGTCCCACTTTGGTATTATATGTGGCCGAAAGTCCAGAATTCTCCTGGAAGGATAAAGTTGTGTTGGGGTGAGTAGGGACATACAGGATTAAAAAAACAAACAAAATAAACCCCTCTAGACTATATTACACTAATCCTGAAGTAACAAAGGAAAGGAAAAGTGATGTGGATAAGTGAAAATTTAGTCCATGGAACCATAATTACAAGTACCATGAAAAGTATTTTGTAACCTTAAACAATTACTTTTCCACCAATGGGCTGCATTTTGGTACCTTGCTCTCCATTTAAACTGCTTCCAAAGAATAAAGCAAAGCTGGAGGAAAGCTTGGGAGACAGAAAGAGTCCTGCTTTGGGTCATAGCAAAGGTTGGAAACATTTAGGTATGAGATTCGGAGGCATTTAAATAGCATGGACTATCTATTATCCACCCTAAAAAGCAGAACGAATCTTTCATATTGTGGACACAAATGCAGTTGGCACGAGCTGTTTAAAAAAATGCGTGTGAGCTTCCTTCTAAAACCCAATAATCCTCTTGGGCAAAGTAAGGATTAGGCCTCCCTCACAACAAGGGGAGGGGGTGACTTCATTTTTGCTAAGATTCCTTAGCTGATGCCAGATTTAGCAAGAGACCTATTTTCTTCCAATGAATGACAGTCTCCATTTACATTTTTAATGTCCACCCCTCTTCTCTAGACAGGTCTAGGACAGGAGCAACTTATTTGCAAGTAGATGGGAGAGAGAGACACTGGCTCCCACAGACCACACTGTGCACTCCCACCTCCACTGACTCTCCCAGAACTTGACTACCAATAGCCTACTGTTGCCTAGAAACCTTACCAATAACAATCGATTAACATATTTTTATGTTATATTTATTATATTCTGTATTCTTATAATAAAGTAAGCTAGAGGAAAGAAAATGTAATTAAGATAATTATAAGAAAGAGAAAAAACATTTATTGAAAAAATAGACATGTAAGTACAATTCGAACCTGTGTTGTTCAAGGGTCAACTTTATTGAACGGTTGTTAGGAGCACAGGCTTTGTCACCAGCCAGATCTGGAGTCAAATTCTTGTTCCACTAGAGTTGGAACAATTACCTCTGCTTCTGAGTCTCGGCTTCTTCATTTGTAAAGTAGGGGTGTAATAGCATAAAAGTACCTACCTTAGAGATTGGTTGTAAAGATCACAATAAACTGTGGAGGTAAGAATTTAACCCCTGACTCAGAGCACTCCGTAAGGTAATTACAACTTCTGGGCCTGCTGCTTTGATGCCTGCTGCCTGTGAGGCACATGCTTGAAGGAAAATGAATGCCTGGTGGTACCTCAGGACTCATTGGCTTCAGAACTCATCAAACTTGGTATTCATCACATTTTGATAGGAAAAAATGTTTCAGCACTTGGCGCTTGCTTGCCACTCATCACACTTGCTAGAACTTGTATGAGTCCTGACGCTGCCCCGCAACAGAAAATGCTTCATTGATTGTGGCTTGCTTGCTACTCACCAGAACAAATGAATGGTGAATACTGAGGTACCACTGTATATACAATGTAAGAAAGTTGATGGAAAGGAGAGGGAGGTGTGCTGAGTGGACTACTCTTGTCTCATATACTTTATCTCCCTAGCATTTATCAGGATTTGTAATTTTATATTTGTACTGTGGTTTTGCATGTGCTCCCCATTAATTTGTAATTAGATGGAGGGATTGTGTCTATTTTGCCAGTATTACAAGCCCAATATCTAATCCATTGAATGGTCCATGGTTGACCATTAATAATCGTGGATTGAGTGAGTGGATGGTTGGGCTGGGTATAGAAGTGGGCATTGAGTTCGAGCGTGAAACATGTCCTGTATCATTCCAGCAGTGTGACCAGTGTTAAGAAGTTGTGAATCAAGAACAGGAAAGCAGTCTGGGTTGCAGGGATAAGGTTGGGGAGCCCTTCAAAAGCTAGCCTCATCATTTCTCTAGATCTAGGGGTGACCGAAAGTTGGGTTTGGGACAGAGAGGGGTCCCGTCTGAATTTCAGTAACTCCTCTTTCTTTGGAATAAGCTTTCCCTTTAAAGAAGCTTTTAGTATTAAATGTTTGCTACCTGTATCAGTGGACCTTCAAGATTATAGAATCCAAAGGCAGTATAATAGAGTATGGAAGTGAAAATTAGGGACCCTGGTCTCACGTGCCAGCTATGTAACCTATACTTCCTGACCTTGAACAAGTAACTGACCCTCTGTGAGGCTGTCTACATCTGCTAACAGGGAATAAATAATACCTGTTCCACTTGCCCTTTAGGATTATTATGAGGGCCAAATGCAACGATGGACAAAAAGTGCTTTCAAAGGTGTGATAGTAAAGTAAGGAACTGCAGTGGTTCACGGCAGAGGTTTGTATGGTTCTTCGGGAACACTAGAGAGAGTGAGTAGGTGAGGGAAGAAAGGCAGAGCCTGAGTTTTCTCAGGAAGCCTTTGTGTCCCTCTACTGATGCCAATTCCCCCCAAATCCTGCTTCCTTTCCAGTGAGTATGTTCAGTGGTTGCAGAAGCTTCCAGAGTAAATCCTGCCACAGTGTGAAGCCTTTTCACTGCCCCCGTTGGCCCCCAGGATAGGTGCCTCTACTTCCACTTCCCACCCAGATTTTCCTTTAAAAATATGAAGAAATTAGACTCTTCTAGTCATTCTAGTTAGGAAAAATAGGGCTAATTTACTTTTTCTGATGATCAAAACAGTAAGTATTAATTGTAAACAATTTGGAAGATGTAAAAAAAGAGAAGAAAAGTATCATCCATAATCTTACTACCCAGTAGTAACATTTTGGTATATTTGCTGGTCTTCTGTTTTCATGTATACCTTTTGTCCCATACGAGTAGCAAAAGGGTGATGTGGAAGAAATGACAGGCATGCATGGCTTGGCATGTGGCTGGTGGCTAAGAAGAAAGTATCCTGTTCTCCTCGGAGGCATTTAATGAGGGAGAAGTGGAACAGGGCGGCCTTTGGCCATATGTTTTAACTTGTTTCCATTTTACTTTATCTGTAAAATGAGGATCATCACTGTCTCAGATGATAAGAAAATCAACTGAATACCTTGTAAAGCACAGTATCTGGTACATACCGAGTAGCTAATAAATGTAAGTTTCTATTCTATTGGTAAGAAGTTACCATTTACTGCCAGGCACTGTTCTGAGTGCTCCACACATATCAATTCATTTAAGCCTCACAACTACCCTTTGATGCAGGTGCTGTTGTCCTGTCTTATAGAAAAAGAAACTGAGGCACCAGAGGTTAAGCGACATGCCCAAGGCCAAACACCTACGAGGTGAGAGAGCCTGAATAGGAGCCTGCCACTGATTAGAGTTGATTTAAAGCCAGGCTCCAGGTGTGCTAGAGTTATCACTTTAACTACAAGCCCTTGCCTGAGGGCCCTTGGTTTTCTGTGCATTCGCCTGGGGCTCACTGATACAGACTCAGTGGGTGGAGGGACTGAAGTCAAAAGTATATATAAAGCAGATTAATGAGAGATGTGACTTTTTACCCTGGCCACATGGCTCAGTTGGTTGGAGCATCATCCTGTACATCAAAAGATAGTGGGTTCGATTGCTGGTCAGGGCACGTACCTAGGTTGTGGGTTCAGTCCCTGGTCTGAGTACATAGAGGAGGCAACTCTCTCTCTCTCTCTCTCTTCCTCTATCTGCCCCCACCGCCCTCACCCTTCCCTCTCTTAAAATCAATACGCATATTCTTGGGTGAGCATAAAAAACAAGGATTTGGCTTTTGCTCTACCCACCCTTTTCCAGCCTTTGTGTAAGGTTGACACAGAGGTCACTGGCTAAGATCTGGCGATGGTTAAGCTTATGGTTTCAGAAAGAATCAGTAGTATGCTGGATGCCAGTGGTGTAAATATTACATGTGGATTCGTCGGGGTCATTTCAAGGGAAATTACGTGAGACAAAGCAGCAGCGAGAGGAGCAGGCGGCGCAGGTTGATGTGAGCCTGAGACACAGAGCAGAGACCAGACACAGGCCAGACCAGGGTGGGCGAAAAGTCAGGAGAGGTTTCTTTACACCCGAGATGGAGAGTGCCAGATAAGACACAGGCCTGAGGGAATACAAAATAAGTTTTCTAGATGGTCAGTAATAATTTGAAAAGAAAAAAAAACGAGTAATAAAGGGACAATGACTCGGAGGTCAAATCTTAATATACAGGTACCAAAAGGTCAATGTCAGAAACAAGGGGTTTTTAAAGAAAGGGCAATTTATTAAGAATATGAAACCTTTGATAAATGCTCAACCACCAGAAGATGAAGAACAGCTATGTTAGGCTCAGAACAAAGATCTGTAACCTGCAGCGTCAGCTCTTAAAGTCTTCTCCCAGACACCGGACAAGCTGGGGATGCAGGCCCTCTGCACTTGTGGGAGACTGAAGGGACAAGTCCTGGGACCCTCTGGTGATGACACCAGAGATCTGCTAACAGAACGGAGAGATGACAGTAAGTCCAGCTTCATGCATGATGGGCTTGGAGCAGGATAAAAAGAAAAAAGGGAACACAGGAAACCAAGAACACATCTTTTAATAAGGCAAATTATGAAAACAAGTACAAACATACACCCAGATAAATCCAAAGGAATTTCTCCAAAAGGTTCTACGTTTGAGGGCAAATGTAGCCCCCTGTGAATGCACTTCTGTCTGCTTAATCTCAGAAAGCATTCTGGCTGCTTTGAAACAGAAGGCAGCAAGACTGCCAAGTAGTGCCAGCTGTTGGTCCAAGGGTTTGGCCAAGTCCCCCAACCCTGGTCCTCTGTACTCCATGAAAGCCAGCTGCTAAAGAAATGGGCCAACAGTTGTGGCCAAATTCTTTTTTCACAAAGAAGTTGACTCACAAGCTGTACAGAAAGTGACTAAAAGAAGACTGATTTCTACCTTCCCCAAAACATGTACGCAAACAATTTAATGCTTTTAACAGTTTAAAGGCACAGAGCTACGTTTTGGATGCATTGCACAGCTATTCCCTCGACAATCTCCTGCAATTCAATCAACAAATCTGTATTGTGTACCTACCATAAGCCACTCATTGTGCTGGGTCCTGGGTGTGGAACGGTTTGAAAAAACAGAACTGAAGAAAAGCCAGCCATGGGCCCTGACCTCACTGAGCTTCCTCTGTCTGGCAGAGGAAGCAGACCATGGTCAAGTGCCCAGTTGCACATAACTGTAAGTGCATTGAGGGAAAAGACCAGATGTCGGGAAGAAGACTATTCCCAGTAGATGAGGCATTCTCCAATGTGACGTTTGACCTGGACCAAGGCCGAGGACGACCCAACCCAGTGAAGAATTGGGAGGAAGACTATTCCAGGCAGAGGGAACAGCATGTGTAAAAGTGAAGAGCTTGGAGGGGGTGGGAAGCTCAGGGTGGAGTGAGAGGGGCAATATTTACCAGTGGGTGTGCAGGCGTCAGGTCACTTGAGTGTCTCGGGCCAAGTTAAAGAACTTGGATCTTACCCACCATGCAGGCAGGAGCGATGCTTGGGCTTTATTAGAGAAGGACACAATCCATTTAGATTTTTACAGGCTTATGCTGTCTCCTGTGTATGTGCTGAGTTAGAGGACAGGAGTGGAAGTGGCCACTTAGGAAGCGGTTCCCTGTGGGACAAAACACAATAGAAAGGAAGAAATCACTGGTTTTAATAGGTAAACCAAGCACTCACCTAAGGTTGTAACTGTCTGTGCCAAGTAGGCAGGATTCCTGCCCCTTCTCACCACCCAAGGACAAACTAAAACTATTTAAATTCGGTAGAAATCAGGAAGCCCAGCTCCTTGAGTCTTTCACTACCCTATTCCTTCAGTGTCATGGTGTTCAAGAGAACAACAGGAATAGAATGATCTAGAACTTTCTCTCCTTGTGGTGGCTGAAACTTGATTCAGAAAACAGTTAACAATACTGTTAAAATACCAAATAGGAAAGCACAACTTATGAATATTAGGGGCCAGGAAGAGGAGAAAATATGAATGCACTCATCATAGGAGGCAGAAACATGTAGGTGGTTGATCTAGATTTCTAGTTTCTTAACTATTTGGGGGTAGTAAGACAATACTCAGACTGTGGGTCACAATATTTTTTTAAACCCCTGCTCACCCTTCTCAGGTCCGCTGTGATTCCTATTTCATCCTTCCTAGTTCAAGATATCAAAACTGCAGAACATCAAGAAACCATATCAAAAGAGCCCCTCAAAATGTCTCATTAGTTTTGTCAGTGAGTTAATTTATGGATTAAAAGGAGATGGTAGGGAAGAAAGGTTACAAATCTGTTGAACATTTACCAGTATGTCATTTATTGGGCAACTCTCTGTGCCAGGCACCGGGCCAGCCTGCCCTGCCGTTCTGAGTTTGTGGTGGAGCCCAGCAAACAGGCTGTCGGAGGCCGGTGTGAACTGCACGTTGATTGCCCACGTGCCACTCTCCTAGCGTGGAGCGGGGAGCCTCATCCTGACCTGCACCCAGAGAAAACGACGTCCAAACTGAAACCTGAAGGACAATGTGGATAAGCCAGGAGACAGGGGTACCTTTCGGGAATCTGGAAGTAGTCCCATAAGGTGGAGGTTTGTTTCTGTACATTTCACTTTGAAGCTGTTTCACTGATCCCAGGGTTTCTACAATGTATCTTTTGGTATCTTTAAGTAAAACCCTGTCTGTAGCCTTTGAGTATCTTTGAAGTAAAAATAAACTCATCGTGTTAAATTAACAGCTCCATCATCACCATTCTTTACCCATTATGCCCAAATCTGGGGTAGTAATTTCAAGAACTACAGAATTTGTGACATAAACTGAAAAAAATTGAAAAGACTAAACTGGAAGGAAGAAGAGTGGGTGGTTCTCAGTGGTAATCATCCCAAATGAGCATCCACGTGTAGTTTGAGCCATAATATACAAACTCTCCGTGTGTCAGTTTGTTCACCTGGAAAATGGGGCTAAAGAATTTAGTTTTTCCAGAAAAGTTACGAGAATAACTCCTGACACATGGGAAAGCAGACATATCCTTTTATGGGAAAGACCTGGAATGATCTGCTGTAGTCACTTCAGCACCATTTCCGATGAGATTAAAGCACATGGCAGCCTTGGTTGATTCGAGTCTGTTGTGAAGCAGGTAGAACAGTAACTTCAGATGGGTAGGATCACGTGATTTTGGAGACTGCCCAAGTTCAATAGGCAGATACAATAGTTGGCAAGGGGAGACAATTATTGTATCTGCATATACAAAAAAGTGAGGGTTCTGGTTGGGGGTCTCTGGGACAGTAAGCTTCCCACCACTTAGTCTGGGACTATTTTCCACCTAGATTCACTGTGGAATTTATTTTCATGGGAACATATGGATTTTAAAATGTTTATTTTTCAGATTATTCCAGAAAAAGTACCCTCTGGGTGCTGCAGATTCTTCCCACACACTCTCTAGCCCCACGATTTTTAACCACTTTCATCTCACGGCTCACATAAACTAATTACTAAAATTCTGTGGCCAACCAAAAAATATAATTTCTGCCCATCTGACAAAAAAAAAAGTAGGTATAATTTTGATTCATTCACACCAGATGGCTGTTGTGCTGGCTGGTCATTTTTATATTTGACAACCTAAGGGAAAAGAGGTCAGTGCCCCTGAGTAAACAGGTATTGCATTTTTTTTGACTATTTTTTTTATTTTATTGATTATGCCATTACAGTTGTTCTATTCCCCCCCTTCATTCCCCTCCACCCTGCACCCCTCTCCCCCGTATTGCATATTTTAAAACTTCTTGCGGCACACCACTGAAAATCGCTGCTCCAGGCTGTTCTGGTAGGTGTGGTGCATTTAGGCAGCCTGCTCAGAAGTAGGCTGGCCCAGCAGGAGTGGAGGGAGGGGAAGGTTAGCAGGGAGGCTGCATGTGACTCAGCCCGGGGACTGCAGTCGGCAACAAGCACTAGGGCTTTCACAAACCCTCTGCTGACCTCAGCTGGTCCCCTGGAGGAGCAAGGTGACAGGACAACAGGTGGCCATGGGGAGCAGTACTTGGGTGCTGGTCTCCACTTCCCTCAGAGTGAAATGAGTCATGCATTGAAAGTCTGTAAAAAGATAAGACGATTTTGTGTTCCTCATGCTTCCATCTCTCTCCCATTTGTCCACTCTTCATGCCAGCCCTTCACTGTGACTGTGTACAGTGTGGGCAAAGAAAGAGAAAGGGCTCAGCCACTGTGTGAAAAGGACAGAGCCAACAGTTGTGGTTTAAGGCAAAAATGAGGAAGTTATTAAATGCCACAAAGGTTTTTTGAGTGCTCAGGCCTGGTCTTTGTTTTCCTCCAGCAGACATTAGGGTCTAGAGGAGAGCTGGAAGGGAACGCTTGCTGTCAGAAGGACAATAGCAGTGGGAGGTCTTGGGTGTACTCTTTGCATTCATGTAATCTTTACGTTCATGCAGTTGATGGTGAGATGCCTCTGAACCTACTTTCTGCCACAGCTTGAGCCAGACAGCCATTGGGGTTGGTGCTCTGAGGGTTCTATGAGGAATCCTAAGTGGAGACCACAAGATGAATTCTGCAGTCTTTGTCAAGTTAACTCTTCAGCCAAGGCTCTTCTCACTATTATTTCCAGCATAAATTAAAGCCTTTTTAGTTGTGTCTGTTTTTCATAACATCTTAGTTGACAGGAGCTCTAAAATGAAGGTACTGTAGTAAGACAGTGTACAAACCATGTGTGGGCAGTATGCTAGACAATTCATTGACACTGTCTGGAAACTTTATAGCAACTCTGCAAGATAGGTATAGGAGTGGCTAATTTGCTAAGTGCTGAATATGTGCCAGGCTCTATTCTAAGGGTTTTACCTGGATCATTGGCGGCTTCCCAACAATCTTTTACACCCATTTCAGAGATGAGACAACTGAGGCACGAAGAGGACAAAGTCACAGACCTGATCAGTGGGTAGAACCAGGACTACAGCTCAGACAGGCTGACCGACTCCAGAGCCAGCCTCCTAACCATAGTGCACTCTACCTCTTAACTGCACGTTGCACACTAGGAGTCTGAGGCTCAGAGTGCATTTGCCCAATGTTACTCAGTTCATAAGTGAAAGAACCTCAACCAAGTCTTCAGACTCCAAGTTTAGGTATATAATGAAACTATACAAAGCCAGGAATTTGGTGAGAAAAGTAATGCACAGGAGGAGGTGATGGTGCTTAAATATAATCAAGGTAAAAATGAAACTTTAGCCTAGAAATGGAAACTCCCTGGTCATCTTCCATATCCTGAAATGACAAGAAATCAATACCATTCAGTAATCCCCCCTCCCTTAGCAAGGCCTATGCAGAGGAGAAACAGCATGTGTTTGCACCTTCTCAGATTCCTACCTGTGAGGGGCAAACCAGTCAGCTCTTAGAGGCTTAGAGAGATCTGCACATTGAAAGCACTGCTGGTACCCGGCAAAGTGGAATGTGGCAAACCTACCTCAGAGTCCAGTGCAGGGGGCAGTCAGGGCATTTGGAAATTCCACAGCCGAGACTCTCCCAAGGAGAAGAAATATGCCTGTTTCCATGGCAGGATGCGTTGGCCACATGGGGCTTAACATTTTCTTCTGACTCCCTGGGAGTGTGGAGGAAACGAGTTATGGGGATGGAGGAAGGGACCGGGGTGGGAGGGTGGATTTAAATGGACCCACGGAAGGCTTGCCTGCAGCGTGGTGGAATCCAAACAATCTGAAATAGCTGCGGCTCAGGAGCTGGCATGTGCTCTGAGCTGCCACCCACTGACCAGAGCAAGGGCTGCTCCACTTGCTGAGCGCTTTCCTCAAAAGTGAGGCACTCGGTCTCAGGGAGCCACCTCGCCAGACAGTTTGCTTCAGCGAGTCCCGTTTTTCACTTACCCAAAGATGTTGAATCACAAGGGATTTCAGCCTCATTAACAGTGTGTCTTTCTTCTCCCTTGTTTGGAAAATCTGATATTCTAAAATTGAAAGTACACTTCATTACTTTGCAGAAACATAGATAGGAAAGGGTGAGGACCCTCAGTAGCGGATTTGCTTTCTTTTGGGCAGAGAACTTAAGTGGGTGCAGGCTTAGAACACTGCTCTAACTCCAGGGTTAATTTTCAGGCATGATTCTTGTTAGATTCATTTGTTCCCCTGCCCGTGAACACCATCATGCTCAACTTCCTGTTTTCTTTTTTTTTTTCTTTGCCAGAGATGCCTGTGTGGACCCAGGCCCTGCAGATACTGACACCTCTGACTCCTTCAGCTCAGAGTACCGCACGTCTGACCCCCAGCACAGAAAGACGACATGGTCAGGAGGAGCTAAGCTTCGGCTGAAGCACAGGTAGGAGGCCTGGGGGTCGGTACCAAGGGGTTTAGGGAAGGGACTTGGCTGCTGGAAGAGGGAACTGGGGGCGAGGCTGGTGAAGATGGGGCTAGTGAGAGCAGTAAGGAGGGGCCCAACAAGGGGGCCAGAAGCTTAAGAGTTCTGCAGGATAACATCTTAATGACAGCTTTTAAATTTAAGTTCTGAAGAACTCAAAAGTTCCTGGGAGATAATCCAGGGGTCCCTCAAATTATTTGAGCCAAATATCTTAAAAAATTATATCCATAACTGTTTCTAAAACTGTAATTTAAAACACCCAGAGTAATATACCAGTGTCATATACTTTGGAAGTGACAAATGTGTCAAATTGTGCAGCAAGATTAATTCATCTTTGAGCTGATACTCATTTAAAACTTTTCTTGTTTCTAATTGAAGAATGTCCTGAGATTACTAAGTTAGCCTAATAAAAATTTACAGCCACTTCTCTGTGCTGGATGGTATGCCAGGACTTTGCCTGTCAATCAAATTGTCACACCACCCCTGGGAGATTTGCACTAGGAATCTACTAGCAGGTGGTGGATTCAAACTCAGCCAGTTTGACCAAGCTGGTAGCCACTATACTCTATGGCCTCAACAGTCAGCATAACAGAACCTACTTCAAAGGAAATCCATGGAGATTCAATGAGATAAGGTACTCAAGGCACTTACAACAGAGCCCACTCACAGGAAATGAGAACTTAATGGTAGGTATTGGGTTGGCCAGAAAGTCTGCTTAGTTTTTTTCTGTTAAATACAAGACATGTTTTTCATTTTCACCAATAACTTTGTTGATTTGGATATTTTGAGTATGTTGATTATTCTCCACATGGTAGAACATTGATTGTTCTCAATTAATGTCTGGATTTGATCGCTATCAACTTCAACTGGTTCACCTAACTGTGGAGCATCATCCAGTGAGAAATCTCCAGCATGAAACTTTGTAAAGCATTTTTGACAGGTTCAGTCGGTCACAGCACCTTCTCCATACTGCACACATCTCTTTTGTGTTTCGGCTGTGCTTTTACCCTTCTTGAAATAATAAAGCATAACATGCCCAAAATATTGCATGTTTTCTTCCATCTTCAATATTAAAATGGCTATACCAAAATTCCCCAATTTGGTAAGTTCTTTTTAAATTTATGGCATGCCGATGTGATAGCTGTCACAATACAATCTAACAAAATTGTTTCAAATCAGGTTAAAGACAACAAAGTGCTACTAGAGCCATTGTACTGAAAAAAGCAAACCAACCTTTTGGCCAGCCCAGTAAAATACGTTTGGTGGTGGTGTAATGCTGTGGTTATTGTCTCATCACTCTCATGGAAGTCTGTGCCCAGCATGAAGGTCAGTGTGATATAGTGAGTTAGATGTGGCCCGTGGCATCAGACAACCTAGAATTCACAGCTCTTGTGGCTTCCTGTCTGTAAAAATGAGTTTGTTACCCAGACACTGGGTTCCTGACAGGATTGGTGCTAGCACATGCAAAGCACTCGTGGTGGTGCCCAGCACGTCATAAGCACTCAACAAATGTTGCTGTTGATACCAGTTTCCCTGACTGCAGTTGGGGGATTCCTTCATGCGGACATGTGAATTTGCATTATAAACATTATAAATGTTGTATTTACTTGTCATGTTTTCTTAGTCTCCTCTAACCTGTTACCTCCTTAGTCTTTCCTTGCCTTTTATGACCTTGACAATTATGAAGGGTGCGGGCCAGTTTTCTTGTAGGATGCCTTCTGTTTGGGTTTGGCTGATAATGCCCAAAGATTAGATTGAGGTTATGCATTTTTGGCAAGAATACCACAGAAGTGGTATGTCCTTGCAGGGATTACCCAATGTCGATGTTTTGTTACTGGTGATATTAACCTTGACTACTTGGTTAAGGTGAAGTCTGCCAGGTTTCTCCATTATAAAGTTATTATTTGTCTCTTTATAATTAATAAATGTCTTTGGAGATATAACTTTGAAGCTATGCAAATATCCTGTTTCTCCTCTCGCACTTTCTCCCACACTTAGCATTCACCAGCAGATATTGTCTGCAGCAATTATTACTGTAATGCTGTAAACATGATTCTGTATTTCCTGCTACATTTATTCTCTGGAATTCTACTCTAAGGAAGAGCTGTCTCTCTTCCCCGCTCATTTACTTATTCAACTATTTAGATCAGTAAGGATTCCTTCATATATCAGTCATATTTTGTGGATTATAATCCAGTACTACCGTTTCTTACTTTATTGCTCACATTGCTCCAGATTTGGTCACTGGGAGCTGTTTCAAGCTGGCTTTGGTCTAAGTCCTGATCCGAAATTTGGAAAGGGGCAAGATGCTGATGTCTAGTTCTTCCACATACAGAGAGCAGACATGCTGGGCTTATTTTCTTAGGAGTTTAATGAGTGTTTAGGTGGGAGGTCAGTGGGCATTGAGCAAGTCTGACTCGTCATGGAAACCTGTACAGTGGTCTCGGATTTAAAAGTGCTTGGGTCACCTCATGAGCCAATTTCTCATCCAATGGGCCACAGGTGTACATAGCTCCCATTTCATGAAAAGATATCGAGGAAGGATTTCTCTCTTAAAAGAGCAAACGGAACAGCCTCCCTTCTCCCAGGTGTAAACAGGGACCAGCCCAACAACTGAGTTCAAGAGAGACTCTTAGTAGCCCAGGGCTTACTATTCTCACACATCTAGACTCATTCATCCTTTCCTGCTTGGTTCCTGAATTCTCTTACATTTAACTTATCTTGGCAGAGATGTCTCCCTAAAAAAATCTATGAAGCCTTAGGCTAGGGTAGTTCAATGAGTTGGTAAAGGAAACAAAATGTTCTTGCTTAAAACTCCAGACTTTCCGAGCCAGTGCTTTCCTCCATGAACATCTCATTCCTTCCCCACCTTCCACCACCAGTCACCACCATCATTCTAACAATGATCTCATCTAATTATTAAGCATTTACCCATATATGGTGATGTGTTTTGTGCTTGGTAAAGTAAATAAAGATGGGTAGTGGAAAGCTCAGGGTTTGACTCCTAATTCATTTGCAATTGAGCAGCAAGGTTAGTTCAGCTGGCACTTTGCACTTCCCTTGGCAATGAGTTCTGTCCCTGTGATGCTGACATAGTGTTCTCAGGACAGTGTGCTTTAGGAGGCTTTGGTGGATGTTGCTAGAGAACCGACCCCTGCTTCACAGCCTCCCAAACTGTGGGCAGCTTAAAGCAATGAACACACTTGCAGATAGTGGCATTTTTGCATGTGAAGGAGGGCGTGGGTTTAGCAGGGAAGATCATTCAAGGAAACTTCCTGATTTCAGTTTGATGCATTTTTATCAGCAGGTGATTTTCCTTGCTTCCCTCCTCTTCCTGCCCACAGAATAGCATTCTGGCATTTCTAAGCTGCATGCTATTATTCCTTGGATGCTGGTGCTTCTCAGGAAAAATTACTGGGAAGAGAGTCACCTTCTCTCTTCCCTTTTCTAGAGCAGGAATTGAACTTTAATTGGCCAGTTTACAGAGGTGAGTGGGAATCAGAGTCCCTCCCACCTGCACTAAGCTCAGCAAGTTCAGGGCGGTTCAGGCTGCCTGACTGGAGGCACATGGAATTGTCCGGAAGGCTTTGCAACCCTGGGAGGAACACAAAGAGCAGTAGCAGGAGTAATGGCTTTTTACCGCACTCCTGGCTGTGACATTCAGTTGGCCAGGGGGTTGTTGTCTAGGATGTTTCTGTTTACCACAAGGTAAGTCCACTGTTATGTCGGAATGAGGTTTAGAATCTTTCACGGCAAGATTCTCAACTGACAAGCCTTTCACAGGCATCTGTTTGATGTTGTGCTATGTCTGTTCACAAAGAAAAAACCAACCACGTGTTTAAGTTTAAGCCCATTTCTCTAAATTGTCATGAAAATCGTTATTTGCGTACCTCGTGTAAGTCAGTGCACTAGTAGTATCTCTGAGAGAATTTTCAGTCATCCTCTCTGCTAGGTGCCGTCACTGTCGCAGTATTTTCCGTGATGTGTGTATTTAGAGTGGCTTTTTAGCTCCTGCAGATAAGCAGTCGCTTTGTGTTGTGTACTCCAGGGTTTTGCTTCCCCTGCTCCCTGGGGAGTTTCGGAGCATTTCTTCCTGTTTCTCACTGGGGAAGCCTCCTTACCCTGCGTGGTGGTAGCCAAGTTGTCTGTTTGTTCTCACTGACAACATCTGTATAAAGGATTGGAACCTGTGAATATATTCTCAGTTACAAAGGCAAGGTCCTGTCTTCTAACGTAACTTGGTGTTTGCATGAAATGTGTTGATTGAGATTGCACGTTTTACATCATTTAATTCCATTACAAGTAAAGTATTAAATATTTGGTTATCTTTTCCATTATTCACAGTAATTTGAGTTCAGCTCTTATCCTTATATTGATTCAAAATTTTGGTTTGGA